CCTTCCTTCCTTCCAGCCTTCCTTCCTTCCTTCCTTCCTTCGACTCATTCTATGGTACACATAAACTGCTAGGATACATAGTAATTAGCATTGATTAGACTTTTCCACAATATTTTATAGGGGGTGGAGAAGGGAAACATTCAGCATCTTTGTGATCCCTGCTTTGATATTATAAAGTTTGTGATTATATTGCTGCCAGTTTATTATGTTTTATTGGGTTTATTCTTCTTGTGGGTTCCCTTGAGTATTAATGTCTTACTAAAAACCAAGATGCAAATGCAGCACATAAATGAACAATAATATAAAATGGCATGCTATGTTAATTTTACAAACAGTTGAGTAAATCACAGGAGAAGTTTTTGTTCCCTCCAGTAGCCTCTCTGGTCAAGAGAGAGAAAAGATCTGCCAGGTATTTTGAAAATAATAAAACAAAAATAAAATTTAATAAAAATAATAAAAATATATATATTTGATCTTGCCTTCGCCTTTAAAAAGAACTCAAGGCATCATTAAAAAGGCAATATTTAAAAACTTGAAACAGTATGTATGCAAATATTTAAAAATAATTAAACAAGTATTGTATTAAAAACAGTAATAAAATCAATACTAAAACACATTTAAAAGAATAGCACAACAATCCTCCCACTAGAAGCCAGGTTGGACCCATCTTTGCTGTCCTTCCACAAAACTTTTCCAAGCCATGGATCGTCCATATCAAGTGATATTCAAATAGTATGTCCAATGATAAATACAGTAAATAAATACAGTAGGACCCCGCTATCTGCGGGATCAGTATCCACTGATTCATTTATCTGCTGCCTGAAAATGCTAAATTAAAAAAAAAAGTATTTTTTTTTAAAAATAGGGTGTATTTAACAGAACTGGCTACCAGAGGGAGCGTTTAATGCTTTCACTTTTTGGGGTATCCCCAGAAAGGCTTGGAACAGATACCCCCGGGTACTACCTACTGTCTAATTCTGTGAAAGTTTATTTTAAAATAATAATAACTAAGCTGATTTGCTCGGTCTTCTTTTTCTCTGTCCACCCTCCCTCTGCCGCCTTCTCAGGGACAATGGAGATCTCGGCGGGCCAGTGGCTGCTCATCCTCTTCCTGGTTGTGCTCCCGCTGCTTTACGAATGCAGCACCACCTTCAGGTACTTCTGCAAGATGGCGTTCTACAATAGCTACATCCTGTTCTTGGCCGTCATTGTCATCCCTATCTGTGCAGTCCGTGGACGCAACGTGGAGAACATGAAGTAAGTGCGGATGAGGGTGTGCGGATGAGGACGTGATTTCCTAGAGGGAAATGTTTATTGTGCTTCTTGATATACATCTTTGTGTGTTTGAACACTGCTAGAACAGGGTGCTTTCTCCTGAAAATAAAGGAGAAGGTGGTGCTTCCTTCCCTTTTCCCACATACAGGAGCTGCCTGTCATTGATGTTCCAATCTTACTTCAGGACAGGACATCAGTGGTTTAGTGTAACGGGTCAAAGGTCCTGGATTTTCTGAATGGCAGAGACAGTGGCATCATCAGCAACCTGCCAAACCCCCCAGTTTCCTTTTTTCACCTCTGAGCATACAGTGGACCCTCGACTTACAGACGGCTCCACTTACAGACTTTTCGAGTTATAGACTTCTCTGGCCGCAAAATTTAGGTTCGACTTGCAGCCGGAGAATCGACCTACAAGCCGGGGAAAAATGGAACAAAAATGGCTAGTTATGCATTAATCGGTTTTCAATGCATTGTAAGTCAATGGAGCCTCAACCTACAGACTTTTCGACCTGCAGCCACCGTTCCAATACGGATTAACTCCGTAAATCAAGGGTCCACTGTACTTGTAATCCTCATAGCAGCTGGAGGAGAATGTTGTAAGCTATCCCTGTTGAAATGCAAAATATTTGAGGGAGACTTGGCCTTGAACAGGCAATCAAGAGCCATTAACTTTCTAAAAATACCTGCTTCCATTTGTTCATCTGCACTGGTGTGAAACTGTATTTTCAAACCCTCTCAAGTGCGCTGGAGGTGGGACTGGCTTTCGTGATGTCTGCCTGCACTTCAAATTTACTACTCCATCAGTTTTCCTCCATAGCAAAGTTCTTTCGGATTATAATTCCCAGCATTCCTTAGTCTATAGGACTCCTGTTGGCTGAGAGAATTCTGAGACTTATAGTAAAAGAAAACCCAACAACAGACCGAACAATAGCAGCAGCAAGGAATGGAAACACACACACAACTTTTCGAACCTCTGCACTGCTCTGCCGCACAAGAGGCGGCAGGCTAGTTTAAGAAGTTTAAGACGGACTGTATCTGGCATGGACAGATCGGTCATCTCATCCTGGAACTTCGCCGCCCGAGGCCGCTGTCTAGCTCTGTCTTAACGTTTGGGCCATCGCTGTGTTTGGACATGGCGGGGCTGTTCCCTGTATCCTGCCGGTTTCACAAATGAAGGAGGACTCCCCCCATGAGCAAGGTCAATATGAGATCCACAATGTCATACTGTAGATCAAGATCAGGAGCGCATCATGAGAAGAAAAGATTTGCTTGGAGAGTGCATCATGCAGAGGACACCCAACTTTCTCTCTGCTTTCCATCTAAAATCCAAGGGAGCTGTTCCAGCTCCAGATGGGTTTCTGGTATCGGTAACCCACACACTGGATGGGGGTGAATTAAACTGGAACTTAATCCAGACCAGACAGAGGTGCTCGTGGTTAGTTGAAAGGCAGACCAAGGAAGAGGGGAGCAACCTGTGCTGGATGGGGTGACACTCCCACTAAAAAACATAGCTGCACAGCTTGGGGCTGCTCCTGGATTCGTCCCTTGAGTCTGGATGCCAAGGTTTCGGCAGTGGCCAGGAATACCTTTGCACAATTAAAAGTAGTGCACCAGCTGCGCCCGTTCCTGGAGAATGAACTGGCCAGGATGATGACAGAAGCCTTTCGTTGCATCCCGGCTGGATTACCGTAATGTGCTTTGCGTAGGGTCTGCCTCTGGGAAATGTCAGGAAACTTCAGTAGGTCCAAACAACATCTGCTAAATTGCTAACTGGAGCTGAATGCAGGGATCACATAACCCTTCCCTGTTACAGCAGCTTCACTGGCTGATGATCCCTTTCCGGGCACAATAAAAAGTACTGGTTTTAATCTAAAAAGTCCTGAATGCCCTGGGCTTAAGCTATCTCAGGGACCATGTCTCCCTTTATGAGCCTGCTTGCGCGTTAAGGTCATCAGGAGTGGCTTTTCTCTTGGTCCCAACATTCTCGCAGGTGTGCTTGGTGGGGACACAAGAGAGGGCCTTCTCTGTCGCTGCTCACAGACTCTGGAACTCCCTCCCACTGGAGACCAGACCAGCCCCATCTCCGCTGTCCTTCCGCAAGCAGGCGAAGACCTTTCTCTTCAGGCAGGCTTTCCCTGAGCGGATGGCGATCTGAGTGGGATTGTTAAACGGATTGTTGTGTCTTAATGCTTTGAGTGGATTTTCAGTACTGCTTTTGGTTGCCATTTTTAGTGTGGCGTTTGTTCCTTTTTAATATTTGTGTACTTACCTGTTTTTAGCTTTAAATATTGTCTTTTAAGGATGTAAGCCACTTTGGGTCCTTTTTGAGGGGGGGAAGAAAGGCAGGGTAAAAACTATTTTCAATAAAATGAATGAATGAATGAATCCCGAGGAAGATGAAGAGAGCAGGTAAAGAAGAATTACGGACCATGAGATGGATTGGACTCCATAAAGGAAGAGACGCACCTTCCCCTTATAAGATCTGGGCAGAGCTGTTGCTGCTTCATAAGGCGATCGCAGGTCAGAAGGAATTTGGTGGCACATTAAAAACAAGATGAGCACAGAAACAAGTTGAGCACAGAAAGTGACTAAACTAATGACCAATACATATTAATGCCTGCATTTAGTTATTCCCTCCCACCTGTACACCCCCATTTGGGCTTTGGAAAGCCTTGCCTTGTTTTCTTCAAAGAGCTCCTTGCCTGGGTGGGTCCGACGGCACAGTTTGTTTTCCCTGCCTCCAACCCAAATCTGGTTCGCTCACTCTGGGACCATTTATTTCGTCTTCCGCTGGGAAGGTAGGTGTTTGGAGGTGATTGTGTGCAGTGCTGGAGTTGTTGCAATGTGCAAATCAGAGGCATAGTTTTGTTTTTGTTTTACAAGTCTGGGGAGTCCAGGAGATGATGTTGCTGCTGCCTCACCCTTGCCTTCACACTGTGGAGTTTTTCTTTCCCTCAAAAACATCCCCTTCCCTCAGCCTCTCCCCCACTGAAAATATATCCTTTCCCTGTGTTCAAAGGCAGCCCTCCTGCCTCCTTGAGATTTCTTGGCATCTGCTAGCCACTAGGGACTGCTGCCCAGTCTGAAAAATAGCCCTCAGCTGTTGTTGGTATCACCTATTCGGATCTAGTGCACCACCTGCTTGAACAGGGATCAAGGGAGTGGTATGATATGATCTCAGTGGTACGATGCTAGCTCTGTGACTAACCGCTGGCCTCAGAAAATCTGGAGTTCCCTTCAGAGAGGTGCCCTCAGTCACTGGCACTGACCCAGAACGGGTCCTGCTTAGGTTCAGCAGGATTCTGGCAGAAACCACCTTCAGACCAGGGCAGTTGGAGCCTGTAATCTTTTAGATAGCGTTGGGACTTCAGTGCTATATTCTGGCTTGGAGTCACAACATTATGAAGGTTACAACAACGGATGAAGCTTATTCTTAATCTTCTTCACCTTCATAAATATCTGGAGGGCTATTATATTTACTGCCAGGGGTTCTCATTCATCATGTCAACAGGATCGGAGAAAAGAGAGTCAGAATCCAATACAGTGGTGCCTCGCATAACGAGCGCCTCGTATAGCGACGAATCCGCATAGCGATCCCTTTTCTGGGATCGCTAATGCGGAGGCATCGCGTCGGCCCCAATGGGCGAAACTTGCAAAGCGAAGATCGGTAAGCGTTTCGCTTACCGATCTTCGCTTTGCGACGCCGCGGATCAGCTTTTCGGCGGTTCCAAAATGGCCGCCGGACACCTGAAAGGGCCATGCGCAGCATTTTCGCGCCCTCCCCTTGCTTACCGAGGGCGCGAAAATGGCTGCCGGATCCAGGAAAATTCAGAAACTTCACTAAACGGTGAGTTTTCAGCCAACTTGGCTTTTTACTTTCCGTTTAACGAAGTTTTCACATAGCGAAGGTTAATTTGGAACGGATTAACCTCGCTATGCAAGGCACCACTGTATAAAGATGAACTCTAATGCGAGGTTTTGTTGTGGTTGTTATGTGCCATCGAGTTGCCTCTATTTTTGGCGACCCTATGAATAAGTGATTTCTAACATGTCCTGTCCTCAACAGCCCTGCTCAGCTTTTGCAAACTAAAGCCCGTGGCTTCTTTTAGATAATCAGTCCATCTCGTTCCTAGGTGGTCTCCCTCTTTTCCTGCTGCCTTCCACCTTTTCCCAGCATGATTGTCTTTTCCTGAGAATCCTGCCTTCTCACGAGGCACTCGGAGAAGGACAGCCTCAGTTTTGCCATGTTTTGCCTCCAGAGAGAGAGTTCAGGCTTGATTTGATCTAGGACCCACTTGATCATCTTTCTGGCTGCCCAAGGTATCTACAAAACTCTCCTCCAGCACCACATTTCAGACAAATCCTTTTTTCCCCCTTGTCCGCTGTTTTATTCAGATCCAAGAACCATTCCCCGTTGAACTGTGAAATTTATATGATGACTTTGGGCCGGTTATAGTCTGGTGCGCCTTGCAGGGTTGTTGTGTGCATAAAGTGAGAAGGAGGAGAGCCGTGTGCACTGGCTTGAGCTCGCTGGAGGAAAGATAGCATGTAAATGGTATCAGTGGCCGAAATCCTGGTCCTTAGTGTAGTTTAGATTTAAATCAGGTATCCTTCAGTATCAAGAGACTATGGTAACATGCTCTGTATGGAGGACCTGGAACAGCGTCTAGTGTGACTGAGGAGGCCAATTCGAGAGTGACAATCCCTTCCACACTGAAGACAAATACAATCTGTCCCCTGTCCAGCTCCCTGATTTGGCTGGTTTCAGGACTTCCTCTTTGCCTCGGTCTGCTGGACAAGGGTCTCTTCAAAATGGGAGAGGCCGTGATGCAGTGCCTGCCTCCAGGCTGAACGCTCAGATGTCAGGATTTCCCATCTGTTGAGGTCCATTCCTAAGGCCTTCAGATCCCGCTTGCAGATATCCTTGTATCGCAGCTGTGGTCTCCCTCTGGGGCGATTTCCCTGCACTAATTCTCCATACAGGAGATCTTTTGGAATCTGACCATCAGCCATTCTCATGACATGCCCAAGCCAACGTAGATGTTGCTGTTTCAGTAATGTATACATGCTAAAAATTCCAGATCGATCTAGGACTACTCTATTTGGGACTTTGTCCTGCCAGGTGGTATAAATATACCAGTTGGGCGGGATATAAATCAAATAAATAAATAAATAAATACTAAAAATGCATCGAGACAACGGATATGGAAGGTGTTCAGCTTTCTCTCCTGCCATGCATGAAGGGTCCAGGACTAACTGCAGGACAAGAGTGTGCTCAGGCTCTATAGCCCTGGATCTTGGTATATGCCATCAGCTTCTTATTGAGCCATACTCTCTTTGCTTTGCCAATGCGTTTATCCAGCTCGACATCCAGAGAGAGGGTGTCAGAGATGGTTGAGCCAAGGTACACAAAGTCATGAACAACCTCCAATTCTTGTGTAGAGATGGTAATAGAAGGAGGTGAGTCCATGCCCTGGGCCATGAATTGTGTTTTCTTCAGGCTGATTTTTAGTCCAAAGTCTTGTCAGGCCTTGCTAAAACAATTCATAAGTTGCTGGAGGTCTTCAGCAGAGTGGGCAACAATGGCTGCATCATCGGCGAAGAGGAAGTCCCGCATGCATTTCAGCCGGACTTTGGTCTTCGCTCTCAATCTAGAGAGATTAAAGAGCTTTCCATCTGACCTAGTCTAGAGATAGACACCTTCTGTTGCAGTTCCAAAGGCCTGCTTCAGCATGACAGCAAAAAAGATCCCAAAAAGGGTTGGTGCGAGGACACAGCCCTGTGTCCTCGCAGCCTCCGCTTCGGATGTCAAAGGGATTTGATGTTGAGCCATCAAAAACTACAGTGCCTTTCATTCCCTCATGAAAGGACCAGATGATGTTAAAGAGTCGAGGTGGACATCCAATCTTGGGAAGGATTTTAAAAAGGCCCTCCCTGCTAACCAAATCAAAGGCCTTTGTGAGATCTATGAAGGCCACAAAGAGTGGCTGTTGTTGTTCCCTGCATTTCTCCTGCAACTGTTGGAGGGAGAATACAATGTCAGTGGTGGATCTATTAGCTCGAAATCCACACTGTGATTCTGGATAGACTCTGTCTGCAAGCACCTGGAGTCTCTTCAGCACAACACGGGCAAGCAGCTTCCCTACAACGCTAAGAAGAGAGATGCCACGGTAGTTATTGCAGTCGCCCCTGTCTCCTTTGTTCTTATACAATATGACAATGTTTGCATCCTTCGTGTCCTGTGGTACTCCACCTTAATGTAGTAATGTGGTAACAGCTGCTGATGTTTGCTCTAGTATTTTCAATCCTCCTTCCTCTGAATCTAATAGAGCTTTTTGTGCAACACATTCTGCATGTACTGTAGATTAAATGAAGAGATAAAACACACCTTGTTATGGTGCCTTCACTGCTGTCTTTCTCTATATTGTATCATGTTAATAACATGTGACAGATTACATATCAAGACAATCAAATGCTGGGGCACACCTCTCTTTTTATAGAACAACCTATAAAATTTCATGACCCATGCAGTCAAAACCTTTATTGTATTCCATAAAGCACCAACTGATATTCTTCATTTGGCATGTTCTAGCAGCCAAACATACTTGTTTGCATTCTCTAGTGCCTCATTTTCTGAATCCAGCTTTTAGCATTTGGCAGCTCTTGCATCATAAATTTAAAAGTCTGTGTTGTAAAATCTTGAATATCACTTTGCTTGCATGGGAAATTAATGTAGTAGTCTTATAAATACAGTGGTGCCTCACTTAGCGATTGCTTCATTTAACGATGTAATTGCTTAACAATTAGTTTTCCGGAGCGATCTTGCGCTCTGTTTAACGATGTTTCCTATGGGCGATTTTCGCATAGCGATGTTTGGGACCTTGATTCGTATAGTGATGACAGTTTGGGCCCCCCTGTTTTGCTTAACGATGGTTTTGACAGCCTCATGTTCGCTGTCTTTTAAATGTTTAAAAATGTTTTAAAAAGGTTTAGAATGCTGGAAATCATAAGTGCACTTAATAAACCCTTTGTTAAACTAATTTGACTTTGTTCTGACTCTTTTTGAATTTGTTGTAAATTTTTCCCCCCACTGAAATGCATTGAATAGGTTTCAATGCATTTCAATTGGGGAACCGCGTTTCGCTTAGCGATTTTTCCTATGGCGATTTTCGCTTCAGGATGGCAATCCGTTCCTATTGGAACAGATTATCTGGTTTTCAATGCATCTCTATGGGAAAACGCGTTTCGCTTAGTGATGTTTTCCCATAGCGATGGTTTTTTTGGCACCAATTAAAATCGTTAAGCGAGGCACCACTGTATCGCCCTTTGTGGGATCCTGTTTCTTTGGAAGTAGGATGTATATCAAATATTTCCAGTCATTGTTTTGAGTTCTTTATTGGCACATTCTTGTTAGGATTTTGACAAACCCTGCCTGTGTAGCATGATCAAGATCTGTTGGTATGGCATCTACTCCTGATGATTTATCCCTTTCAGTGTTTTGAAAATGGCTGATTTTTCATCAAATGATTCTTTATCGAAGACACGTCATCCTTGGATCAATTCTGTATATTCTTCAATATATTGCTTCCATTTTCCCTTCGTTTTATCATGATCAGATACTATATTCCCTGTAGATCTTTCTGCATCCCTACTCATTTTCAATTTCCCTTTGATTTATTTTTTTCAGTCTTATGGAAAAAAATCTTCTCCTTTTTTTTGGGGGGGTTGCTTTCCCCTTCTCCTAATGGTTGTTGTAACCGGTTCTCTTTGTCCCTGTGTGCAAGCCAATGAAATGTCACATTCACAAATTTGAGTACCTTTGTCACCTTTCACTTTTTATTCTCCTTAACGATGCAAGTTTTATCAGTCCTCCTCCACTGGGACTTTTCTTTAGTCTTTTTGCTTTCTTTCCTGATAAGTATCTCTGCTTACAATCCACAGCTCTTCTGGTTCAGAGTCAACTTAATAATGTACATCAGTTTTTATATGGTCTTTAAATTCTTCTGGAATCCTTTTTTACATTATATTTTAGTGCTCTTCTTCAGCTTTACTCAAGTTCTACAACTAGACGTTCTTTCAGCAGCAGCTGATTTATTCCTTTCTGAGCTTGGAATTTAATCTCCCAGCGCCGTCTTTTGTTTCATTGCAGATTGTCTCGTCATAGGCTTTTAAGGGTTCAAAAGTGGTCCATCATATCCACCTTCTGCTCAGTACTAACAAGAACTAGCCTGTATGGCTCCATTGAGATTCTGAGAATTGTGGTCCATGAAGTAACTTTTCTCATCTCTAGAAAGTTGCTGCAGCGAACAGGCAGCAAACCCGTGAAAATTCAGCCAAAGGCTCGGGCGGGAGGGTATTATCACAAAACATTTCACCCCCTTTTGAAACTTGTTCTTTTCTCCTGTGGGTTCCTTGACCAAAAATGCTGGAAAAGCAACCAGTTTTGTTAAAGCCCTGAGTTGTGGTTCGAACTTTTCATTCATTTTTAAAGTTGTTATTGTTTTAAAAGCCTTTCGGTTTTGCTTCGAGGGGGTGGCGGCTGGAGAATTAGAAGGGGGAAAGGAAGCGCCATTGAGAGACGCCGGCCTCTAGGGGGAGCCCCAGCATTCCACATCTTGTGGGAGCCTCAAGCAGTTAGTTATAGGTGAAAACAAAATTAAAAAGAATTAAATTTTTATTTACATTTTGTTTTCACCTCTAATGCTGGCACAGACTAACATGGCTACCCCTTCTACAACTAAAGTGAGTTAGTTGACCACCAGTTTAAAAGGGGGATATATGTAGTTTGGGCCATAACCAGCGTTGCAATTTACAGTGGACCCTCTACTTAAGGAATTAATCTGTATTGGAATGGTGGCTGCAAGTTGAAAAGTCTGTAAGTCGAATCTCCATTGACCTACAATGCACTGAAAACCGATTAATCCCATAACCAGTGGTTTTTATTCTATTTTTATTCCATGTTGGTTTTTTTCTGGTCCGTAAGTCGATTCTCCGGCTGCAAGTCGAATCTAAATTTTGCAGCCAGAGAAGTCTGTAACTCGAAAAGTCTGTAAGTCAAGCTGTCTGTAAGTCGAGGGTCCACTTCATAGATCTCACAAAGGTCCACTGTACCATCGTGGGCTGAGAAGCTGTCTGTAAGTCGAGGGTCCACTGTCTGCCAGGACTCATCGTGGGCTGAAGAGCAGAAGGTCGGAAGGGGCATTTGCTCTCCCGTGTCAAGCTGGCAGGCTTCCTGTAGGCAGCTGGTAGTCTTCTGTGGCAACTGAACCAAGCATCATAGAATAGTAGTTTTAGAAGGGGTCTATAGTAGGCCATCGGGTCCAACCCCCCTGCTCAAGGCAGGAATCCAAATCAGAGCAGATCTGACCGATGGCAGTCCAATTTCTCTTGAATGAACAAACACGAAATAGGGCCTTCTAGGCAGTGGCTCCTCGCCTCTGGAATAACCTTCCTCCGGCGATTCGGGCAGCCCCTACGCTGGGTACTTTTAAGAGCCAAGTAAAAACATGGTTGTATGTCCAGGCCTTCC